AAGTATTATAATCCCATCACGGTGCAGCCTGGGAAAGTCTAAAAGGATTAGGTCGGTTGTCTTAGTGTCACCCAAGAAGATGGTGCTGGCCTCAGCAGCAGTCCCACCTCTGAGTAGGGAGACATCTTTCCTCTTTATTACTTGTCTTAGACATAGAACCTTTTCCTCACTCACTCATCCTCCCACCCTCAGGGTTGCTACATCAAAATTAGGAACTAACTTTTCATTGATCTATTAACTCTTGGGCCCGTACTTTTTTTTTTTTTTTTTTTTTGTGGCGGATGCGCAGGCTCAGCGGCCATGGCTCACGGGCCCAGGCGCTTCACGGCATGTGGGATCTTCCCGGACTGGGGCACGAACCCGTGTCCCCCACATCGGCAGGCGGACTCTCAACCACTGCGCCACCAGGGAAGCCCCCGTACTTCTTTGAGTAGGTCTTAAATATTATTGGCTCATCTGCTTTGTCCCCGGGGAGACAGAATTTAGTGAAACACAAACATTCATGTGGTCAAGTCATGCTGAATTGAACAATATTGGTGCTTTTCTTTTTCTTATCATGGGACTCACAGTCCGTGAGCAACTTGATACTTGCTCTTCCTTGCCTGTCTCCTAAGGTAAGGTGACCACAAGTAGAACTTTAGGAAGTCTTCTCTGTGCTATTAACAACCTCGAGACCTGATAGCATTCATTTTGGGCTTCTTTCATAAGTGCTTTGTGGCAGAAGTGGAGAAATAGCTTCCTCTGCAGAATCGTGAATTGAAGTATTAGCCAAACATAGACTTTATTGTATTTTAAAGGGAAAATGATATTTTTACAGCAGAATTTGCAAATTTGGGGATACATGAAGATCTTTTTATATGTCTCTTGCAAATGTCAAGAGTCTCTTGGATCTAGAAATTATGTTTATATACGTCTGTCTTTCCTGCTCAGCCTGCACTGTCCGATATTATAGCCAATAACCACATCTAGCCTTTGAGCATTTAATGTGGCTGGTCTTGAGATGTACTATAAGTGTAAAATACATACCAGTTTTCAGACTTGATACAAAATCATGAATGCAAAGTATAGTTAGTAATTTTTTAATTGATTGCCTGTTGAAATAATATTTCAGATATATTGGGTTAAATAAAATATATTATTTAAATTTTTTTACTTTTTACTTTTTTTTTTAAATGAATGAGTTTTCCTGTTATTCTGCATTCCCGCTTGGACTGGTATTTTCATCTTTGTTTGTTTGGAATGTAACCATTCTAATCAATGTGTAGGATATCTCATATCTGTTATTTTCTTATAATCTCCTTATTATCAGGGTCTTTGTATATGATTTTTTTCCCATTTGTATATCTTGTATGGTAAGGTGTCTATTTGTATACTTTCCCATGTTTTTTAACCTTTTGACTCCTTTCACCCATTTCTCCAGCCACTCACCACCCACCTCTGGTAACCACCAATATGTTCTCTGTATCTATGAACTTGTTTTTTTGTTTTGTTTCTTTGTTTTTGATTCCACATATAAGAGAGATCAGAAGATATTTGTCTTTCTCTACCTGACTTATTTCACTTAGCATAATGCCCTCAAAATACATTTATGTTGTTGCGAATGGCAAGGTTTCCTTCTTTTTTATGGCTGAATAATATTCCATTATAAGTATGTGTGTATGTGTGTGTATACACACACACACACAAAGGCAACAATTTCTTTATCCATCCATCCATCAGTGGACACTTAAGTTGTTTCCATGTGTTAGCTATTGTAAATAAGACTTCAGTGAACCTGGGGGTGTGAATATCTTTTTGAGTTAGCGTTTTCATTTTCTTTAGGTAAATAACCAGAAGTAGAACTGCTAGATCACATAGTAGTTCTATTTTTAATTTTTTGAGGAGCCTCCATACAGTTTTCCATAGTTGCTATGCCAATTTACATTCCCACTGACAGTGCACTGACAGTGCACTCCACATCTTCTCCAGCATTAATTGTTTGTAGATTTTTTGATGATGGCTATTCTGACCGGTATGAGGTGATACCTCATTGTAGTTTTGATTTGCATTTCCCTGATGATTAGTAATGTTAAGCATATTTTCATGTACCTGTTGTCCATCTGTATGTCTTCTTGGGAAGAATGTCTATTCAGATCTTCTGCCCAACTTTTAATCAGATTGCTTTTGCTAATTGAGTTGTATGAGTTCTTTATATATTTTGGATATTAACCCCATATCAGATATATGATTTGCAAATATTTTCTCCCATTGAATAGGTTGCCTTACATTTTGTTGATGGTTTCCTTTGCTAGGCAGAAAGTAGAAGCCTTTTGGTATGATGTCCCACTTATTTTTGCTTTTGTTGTCAGATTCAAAAAGTTATTGCCAAGATCTATGTCAGGGAGATTACTGGCTATGTTTTCTTCTAGGAGTTTTATGGTTTCAGGTCTTACATTTAATTCTTTAATCCATTTTGAATTTATTTTTGTGCATGGTGTGAGACACTAGTCTAGTTTTGTTCTTTTACATGTAGCTGTCCAGTTTTTCCAACATTATTTATTGAAGAGACTGTCCTTTCCCCATTGTATATTCCTGGCTCCTTTGTCGTGAGTTAATTGACCATGTATGTGTGGGTTTATTCTTTTTTACTTTTTAAATATGGTTATTAGATCATTTAAAATTACTTATGTAGCTCATAGTATATTTCTATTGGACAGAGCTGATCTAGACTATAGGTTCCTTGAGGCCAGGGACAGTGCCTGCCACATGTTAATTAAATGCTCAATGCATGTTTGATAAATCAAACTGTTGAAGTGAAATGAATGAACAGATGAGAATTATAACAATTTTTTTAAGTAGTTCTTTTGACACTTTGGATTTAGAAGGTGATAGGCCAGATGAGATGGATTTTGTCAGTAAATCTTAAAATGTTTATTAATTGTCCCTGGAGTATGGGACTGAAACATACATTAAAAGAGATGCAAGTGCTGGCTGCAACTGCCATCTCATGAGACATTCAGATATCCCCTGTAGGCTGACCTGATTTTGCCACCCATGATTCCTTTGTTCAAGTGCCATATATAATCCAGAAGTTTGTTCAAGAATGATCTATTTCTAGAGAGGATTTTTCCTTTGTGCCATTTAGCTGTGGTTCTCAGACTTTAATGTGCTTAAGAATCACTTGCAAAACCTGTTACAAATGCAGATTCCCAAACCCATTTCCAGAAATTCTAGTTCAGTAGGTAAGGGATGGGGCCCAGGAATCTGCATGTTAACATCCCAGAAGATTCCTGCGTAACTGACTTGTAAGCAATACCATGAGGAACACTGCTGTATGGCACCATAATCTGGGAATAGCCTGAAACTTCAGGAAAAGGGCAGTTTGTTTAGTGATTTTTATTATCTATTATACTATAAAGAACTCATTGTTAAATATATTAATAATCAAAAATTAATCAAAAAATTTCAGCAAACAGAACAATCAACAGTGAAAAGGCAACCTACCAAATGGGAGAAAATATTTGCAAACCATATATCAAAGAAGGGGTTAATATCCAGAATATATAAAGAACTCCTATAATGCAATAACAAAAAAATTACCCAATTAAAAAAATAGGCAAAGGACTTGAATAGACATTTCTCCAAAGAAGATATGCAAATGGTCAAAAACCACATGGATGCTCTCCAGGAAGAAGAGAGATGCTGGTTACGGGATGCTGTCATTTCAGAGGCCTCCGGACACTCTAAGAAAATGTCCTTCCTCTTACCTGTCCCCATACCTGAAGCCTGGAATATAAACACCTCAATTGCGTTCCCTCAAAACATTTTTTAAAAGCCTTGGAGAGACTTCCCTGGTGGTCCAGTGGCTAAGAATGCACGCTCACAATGCAGGGGGCCCAGGTTCAATCCCTGGTCAGGGAACAATCTAGATCCCACATGCTGCAACTAAAGAACCTGCATGACGCAAATGAAGATCCTGCATGCGGCAGCGAAGGTCCCATGTGCTGCAACTAAGACCCAGTGCACCCAAATAAATAAATTAAAAAAAAAAAAAAGCCTTGGAAACTCTGATCATTTTAGGGGTCCTGGTTGTTAGGACCCTTTCTGAGGCAGAGGGAGAACGATTGGGTTTATGTTGTTGGAGTAGCCAGAGCATTCACACTCTGAGCATTCACGCCAGTGGCCAGCAGTCTGTATCTGGTCAGAGGCCATTCCTTTAGGTAGCGAGCTCTCCGTTCTTTCCAGTAACTGGTAGGCAAGTGTGGCTGGGTTGGCTGGCTCTGCCCCTCCCTGGGGTTGGCTAGCTCCCACGAAGGGGGCAAATGGAGTGAGGGGCAAAGGCATCAAGTGACTCCCATATTTACTGAGATGAAAATACAGTACTTGGTTGGTCAAAACTGAAATAATCTCATTTTCCTCCTTTGTACCCTTCTTGGTATCTTGTTCTGGGCTATCAATTCTTTTTGTTTGTTTTTGTTTTTGCAATGTGTTGGCTTACCTTCTAGAAATACTGATTATGAAAGATTTAAAATCTGTAAAGAGACAGACAGATGCAGTATACTCACCACCTAGCTTATCAAAGAAAATATTATGGGTACAAAGTCCCTGTATACTCCTCTCAAATAATATTCCCCATCCCCACTGCAGTGGTAACTGCTGTTTGGAATTTAGTGTTCGTCATTCATATGCAATTCTTTATACCTTCACTATATAATGTTTGTATATTTCAACAATATAGAGTATTGTTTGGAATGTTATGGTCTCATATTTTATGTAGTCTTTTGCAGCCTGCTTTTTTCATTCAACTTGCCTGTTCACTACTTAAACTTCATTGAGGATATTTTTTCCAGTGTTACTTAACTAAACTACTCTAGACATTGGGGTACAGTGATACTGTGTAATAATGTTTGGCCCCCAAGATACAACTAGAAATGGCTTAGGTTGAAAAACTTGATATGTGTCAAATTAATGTATAATTATAATATAGTGTGTAACTGTTAAACATATTTGTTTTATTTCAGGTTATAATATAACTTATCCTCTCATGCTTTTTCCCTGTCCCTTCTCCCCATATCATCAACAGTAGAAAAAGAAGAAGAAGAAAGCATGTCAGGACACAAATGGTAAGTAATTTGTTGTCTCTTCTGAACTGGGAGAGGCTAATGAAAGAGGAAAGCACGTAGTATATGCTCAATAAATGTCTACTGAATGGAAAAATCAAGAGTCGCAATAGCAGTAAATAACCTGTTAGCCTACACCCAGTGTTGAGTATAGTCAAGTTTTCAGTATCCCTACTAAATGTAATATGAAAACCAATAACCAAAAATATTCTCTAAGAAATTCATTTATGTGTAACTTTCTCCTGGGAATCTAACAATGGCTTTTCTTACCACCATTTTTTTCAGTGTAATGAGTTGATACATTTTTTAATCTGTCTTATTTACAACTTCTAATATTAGGGTTATAAGGGAATTTTATATAGGGCAGCTATGAAATAACAATATAACTAATAACAATAAAAATAACTCAGACTCATTAATATATAGTCATGACTTCAAACTTCGTGAACATTCAGGAGCCAGTCATGGTTGGAAGTAGATGATGCTGAATAAAATAGATATGGTAATTACATGACAATGTTATCACTGCCTTTTACGTGCCTATAAAGCATCTAACAGCATGTTAAACCACTTATAAATTCCAGTTCTGTTACAAGCAGTGTTTCTGAACCCTTCTGAAACCTTGATCCACTGGGCAAGCAGATCTTTGTCGTTTTTTACCTCCTTTAATTTGTATCATGAAAAAGTGCAGTGCATATTTTCATTTTTCAAAGGTACAATTGATTATAATAAGGAATATACTTTTTTTTAATAAATTTATTTATGGCTGAGTTGGGTCTTTGTTGCTGCGCTCAGGCTTTCTCTAGTTGTGGCGAGTGGGGGCTACTCTTCGTTGCGGTGCGTGGGCTCCTCTTGTTGCGGAGCACGGACTCTAGGTGTGCAGGCTTCAGTAGTTGCGGCTCATGGGCTCTAGAGCACAGCCTCAGTAGTTGTGGCGCACGGGCTTAGTTGCCCCGCGACGTGTGGGATCTTCCTGAACCAGGGCTCGAACCCATGTCCCCTGAATTGGCAGGCGGATTCTTAACCGCTGCGCTACCAGGGAAGCCCTGAGGAATATACTTCTTAATCTCTCCTCTCTCAGTAGAGAAGCAATCAGGTCCAAGTGCTCTGTAATATCAAATGTCAAACTTTAAAAGTATTTTGCATGTCTTAAAATGTAATGAGCTTTAAAAGGTAATTCATAAATAGCTAAGGGATTTAGTTTCCCTGAGTATGCCCATTTGACAGCTCTGTAAGAGTTGTCAGACTATTTTTTTAATTGTTCCAGCTTGCCTCATTAAGACAAAAGGATGGCTTCATCCTGTGACCCTTGTAATGGCTGTCGTATCCTGGCAGCAGGCTCAGGGAAGTAGGTAGTTGTCATCCACCTAGGAGAGATTGTAGAGTCCCAGGAGATGAGCCCTTCCCCGTAGTCCTTCTCCCATTACCGTGCCACTTCCTTGCTTGCTGTTGAAATACAAGGGCTACAGAGAACATTGAAATGCGCACTACGCTGGGATTTAGAGCCTTGGATTTTAATCCTGTGTGATTTGGGGCAAGATTCTTAACGTTTTGAAACCTAAGATTCCTCATTTGTTAAATAACGGGTGAGGCATGTTCACTAAATGACCTCTAAAGTCCTTTTTTTCCCCCTCGAAATAGAATTTTTTTGTTGTTAATCCATGACCTTTGACCACAAAACCAAAAGAACTGGGCTTCCCTGGTGGCGCAGTGGTTGAGTCCGCCTGCCGATGCAGGAGACACGGGTTCGTGCCCCGGTCTGGGAAGATCCCGCATGCCGCGGAGCGGCTGGGCCCGTGAGCCATGGCTGCTGACCCTGCACGTCCGGAGCCTGTGCTCCGCAACGGGAGAGGCCACAGCAGTGAGAGGCCCGCGTACTGCAAAAACAAAAACAAAAACCACAATAGAAAGAAGTCCATCCTAGTCCCCACTCTTAAAATTCCTTTCCCCTGAAATAGCCACAGTTTGGGGCAGTATATTCTTACCATCTTTTAATGCACATACTATGTAGAGGGATTATCTTTTACATAAAAGTTATACATATTTTCATCTTATTTTCTCTGATTTAAGCTCATAATAAAATGGTTTTTATTTATATGTTTTAAATTAAAATTATATATATTTGAGGTGTGCAATATAATTTGATATGCATAGTGAAATGATTACTGCAGTCAAGCTAGTTAACATACCATCTTTTAAAACTTATTTATTTATTTATTTGGTTGCTCTGGGTCTTTAGTTGCAGCAGGTGGGTAGCACACGGGCTCCTTAGTTGTGGCATGCAAACTCTTAGTTGTGGCATGCATGTGGATCTAGTTCCCTGACCAGGGATCGAACCTGGGCCCCTGGAATTGGGAGCACGGAGTCTTAACCACTTCCCCACCAGGGAAGTCCCAACATATCACCTCCTTTTATAGTTACCACTTTTTGTGTGTGATGAGTGCACATGAAGAGTACTGCTCCTCTCCTAGCCTATTTCCAGTGTTGAATACAATATTATTAAGTAGTCATCATGCCTATACATGAAATATCTGGACTTATTCCAAACTTTGAAATGATGCAGAAAGATATAAAGTAAACCATAATCCTTCTCCTCTTTCCAAAGATAACCATTGCTAAGGAAGTCATCTGAAACTCTGATTTTTTAAGAACAAATGTGTGAATTGAAACTTGTAAATGTTATCTGGCAGGAGAGTGTAAATCATCGAGTTTTGAGATACATATTTTGGTATAGTAGTATAAAGCAATTTCTGTTTTAGGACACAAGTCTGGCACATTTTGAGTGCTAATGGGATGGGGTGGAGGGAGATGCCTGGGGGTCTGCAGAGGGAGATGCCTGGGGGTCCTGTGTGAGCTTTTGGACAGGAACCCTAGACAGGAGGGTGGTGTAGACAAAGCAAGGAGGGATGGAACACCAGTGGCAAACTTTCTGTCAATATTGGGGTACCCTGGTCACTTTTACAGAATTCCATTTCATTCTGAATTGAATTTTTTTTCTAATTTCTTCCTTACATACTTTTTGATATGATCTTCACTGTGCTGTTCCTGAAGAATGGCTTGCTATCGGTATTTTAAGCATTTATGTTTAAGAATTTAAAGTTTTAGTATGAGAAACCCATAATCAATTTTTTAATACTTTTTTCTCAAAATTTTATTTGACTGTAGTAAGAATACCAGACATGAGATCTACCCTTTTAACAAACTTTTAAGTGTAGAATACAGTGCTGTGAACTCTAGGAACAGTGTTGTACAGCAGATCTCTAGAACTTACTCACCTTGCACCATTGAAACTGTATGCCCATCGATTAGTAATTTCCCATTTCCTCCTCAACCTCTGGAAACCACCATTCTATTCTCTGATTCTATGAGTTTGACTGTGTTAGGTACCTCTGTGACAGATATGAAGTATGCTGTTTTTCAGCCCCTTATCTCTACTTTTCTGCCATCACTTCATTGTTGGCCATAATGCTGGGCTGGAGAGAACATTGGTGTTTGGCTTTATCTCTGACTCACTGGGGTGCTTGAGGCAGTCACCTTGCCTGACTTGGCCTCACTTTGTCTACTTCTGAAAGGAGTGTGTCCAGTCTTTTGTTACCTAAATTCCTCAAGGTTTAGTTTTTCAATTTCCTGCAAAAGTTTCTTAATTTCCTCACTAACTTTTAAGGTTTTGGTATAAGTTAGACTTGATTAACCTTTTGGTGTAATAACCATGTAAGAAAGTACTTATATGTTTATTAATGTTGTAAATGTTTGGATACATTTGTTCACACTATAATATCTTAACTTTTTTGAAAGTCATGAGTAAAATGGCTCTTCGAATGCCTTTTAGCAGTTATCCCTGGGACTTACACGATCGATATGCTCAAGATAAATCAGTTGTAAATAAGATGCAGCAGAAGTATTGGGAAACGAAGCAGGCCTTTATTAAAGCCACAGGGAAGAAGGAAGACGAACACGTCGTTGCCTCCGACGCAGACCTGGATGCCAAGCTGGAGGTGAGCGCTTCATTGCCCTCAGCCCCAGCACAGCCACCTTGCTAGGCTCAGGGTCTGAGAATGTATTCATGGGGGCAAGCATAGGTGTGCTTTGTATTTGAAGACATACTGCAAACAGCTAGTTCATAAGGAAAGTGTAGGATCAGATTAACTCAATCCCAGCATATTTTTTAAAAGCCCACAAATTCTCCTGTAACCCCCAGTATGCCTCAGTTAATTTGTTTTTCAAGCACTTCGTTGGAATGCATGGAATGTGGTAAATTCTCAATAAATGTTTGTTGAAAAACATTAATGCACTCAAAGAGCCATTGCCAGTGATAGCAACACTAGGGTCAGGCAAATGTTTACATTTAGAAAAAAAAAGAAAACAGGATGACGGCAAAAGATCCTGGAAAGTGAGTCTAATGAGCTTGTATTGAATCCTGGAAAATTCTAGAATTGAATTAACCAATATTTAGTTAGACTAGTTAATGATACAGTAAGCTGAATTCATATGTGAATGATCCTTGAATACTAGTACAACTGGTAAAAAGCCCACTAATTCCCTGATTGCTGGACATTCTGCCAGTACTTTAGATCAGAATTTAAAAAACATTTGCTGTACAGCAGAAACTAACACAACATTGTAAATCAACTATACTCCAAGAAAAATTAATTAAAAAAACCCCAAAATTTAAAAAGCATACTTAACACTTCTGTGAATGACAGGGCACAGAGAGAGATAATATGTCACGTGGTCTGATAAGAATTCAGAATGATATCTAAATTTAATACATAAGCTAAAGTTACTGAGCTGAACACTTAATGAGACAAAAATCAAAAGCTCGAGATTTCATAAAGCTTTCTGAGAAGCGTGACCAGGGTGGTGCAAGCCATGGTTATTCTGGAACAGAGAGGTTGAGGGGAAATATGTTAATTGTCAGTCCTCTGGGAAGGCCTGTCATGTGGAAGAGGGATAAGATTCATTCTGTGCAGACCCAGGGCCACTATTCATAGTACTCATCTCTCATGGAATTATCTCAAGTGTCTGTTTGTTTGCCTGCCTTCCCTCCACCAGGGGGTCAGATTCCATGACACTTAGTACACATTCAGTAAGTATTAACTGTATAAGTGTACGTGTTAATGCAGTTAAGATGAGTTCCCAACCCTTTCTCCTGTCAGTGGAATTGTTCTAACAGAAGCTGGGTTTGACAGAGATATTCTAGCAGAGATTGCGTCAACGGAGAAAAGTAGAGCCAGGAAGCCTCTATTCTGATTTTAGTATTCTAAATAGAATTGAAATGACTGTAAGTTGCATATGCTTTTCACGTCTTATAGATTTATCTTTTTTTCCTCTTAACAACCTAGTAAATACAAGCGTTACTCAAAAAGTAATTGAATATGTTATTTTCTAGCACGTGAAACACAATACAGTAATTTTATGTTTATATTTAGGTTCTTGCAGCAGCGTTTTCACTGAACCAACTGTACTTTAATCAAAATACCTGCTGTCCTAGGCACATAGCATCCAAAGTACTTAACTGTGACTAATAATTTTACACATGATAAAGATTTCTGTTGCAGGAATGTTTTAATACTGATGTTGATGTTTATAGAGAAAGAGAATGGATTCCACCAATAAAGCATATGAAAACGATGTGCAGACCATTTTGATGTGCTTTTCAACTAAGTTATCCATAGAAGAATAGCTGATGAAACAGGAACTTGTATTCTGCTGGCAAAGAAAGCTTATATGCCAAGCTGTAATGATGGTCAGATTCTATTACAGTCTGTTGGGAAGCTCATGTAGAAATGTTCACTAAGTTTAAATATTTGTCAGAATTGCTTGTTAATGAAATCATTTTCTGAAAAACAGCTCTTATGTACAAGAACTGACAAAACTAACCTGTGGTGACAGAAGTCTTTCAGTGGTTGCCACAGCAGAGTAGACTGACTAGATAGTGGAAATGTTCCTTATCTTACTTTGGGTATGATTACAAGAGTGTATACAATTGTCAAACTCATAGAACTGAACTCTCCAGAGGGGTGCATTTTATTGCATTTAATTTATACTTTATTTTTAAAAAGTCATTCAACAGCAGAATAGCTCTTGAACATACTTTTTTTAACGTCCTTGCTCCTATGTTCAGGAATGACTATGTGTTGGTAGTTTGTGACCCAGAATACTGTTATCAAGCATTTGTTAAGGAACATACTCAGACTGCTGATTTTCTGTTTTGTTTTATGGTAAAGGGTTTTTGTTTTTTCCCTAAATAGGTAGAGGATGAAGTGTAATGAAGTGAGATTTAGTAAAATTTATACTCTGCATGACCAAGATTTATCATATAAGCATTCATAGGAATGGTTTTTAATCTTTTAAGTATATATGCATGCATTCATTTTTATTAGAACATTTGATCATTCATATTATGAAGCCGATCTTCTGTTTTGACCCAACTGTGAAGTGCTTTGTAATACTAGGGCATAATTGCTACATCACCCATGGCCAGTAAGCCAGGGAAGAGAGAAGAATGCCTTGCCCTGCTTCCCTGGATGGCTCCTCAGAGGCATAATGTTTGTCTCCCAGGTTTTCTAATTGACAGCAGCCCTGGTCTCTGAGTTGGTGGACAGAGAATGGAGAAAGTGTGAAGTCTCTGCTCTGTCTTCTGTTTCTCTTTTTACATTTTAATTGGAGTATAGTTGATTTACAATTGTTCTGTCTTCTCTTGAACTGTCTCCATTTCTGAAGCAAAGACCAGAACCACCATACGTTAAAATCTAGTTAGATTCTTCTCCATACAGCCCACCTGCTTTTCCCTTAATTTTCTCTGTTATGACCATGGCATGACATTAGGTTTCTTCTCTGTATATTTTATGAAATAATTGGGAAAATAATGAGTGATAGGAGCTGCTAGCTAAACTCCATTTTACCAGATCTCTTCAAAGCAGACAGAACATTCAGCTGATTGATATTTGTTTGTTTTTATAGAGTTGTTTAAGCGTGCCGTAAAATGCATTAGGATCACAAAATAAACTAATGTTGTGTTTTAAATATGATGCTTAATTGACAGATCTTCCATTTGAAAAAAAAGACAGTAAGTGGTAAAAGAAAGAAATTCGATTATGAAGGAATATTGGGTCTCTGGTTTACCAAGTCCTCTAATTGGGCCCCTCACTTAGGATTTCTGGTTTCAGCTATTATTTCAATGTCTGGAGGAAATCGTCCTTCTGCAGATCTCAATTTAGATCGCAGAACTGATGAATGCTAATAAATATAGAAAAATAGGATCATATTTAAAAGCTTTGGTCACATTTTCTGTTCAGTACACCACGTAACACCAAGCTCATTTAGGCATACGATCTTGTTTTTAGTGGGCAAATCAAACGCTATGGTTATATTCAATATAATTTGTTTTTTATTTCACTGCTGTCTGTTTTATTTAGCATTTTGTTTGTATTTTTATTATAGCTGTTTCACTCGATTCAGAGAACCTGTCTGGACTTGTCTAAAGCAATTGTACTCTATCAAAAGAGAATCTGTTGTAAGTATGCCATAAGTGTGAATATTGACCAAATAGTAAGAAATTGGATATTTTGCCTTAATATATAATTTTATATGTTTAGGAAGCAAGACAAGGGAACTACTGTTTAGGAATGTCTGTCTTTGCTCTTTAATTGGTGGGGTGGGGTCTTTAATCATTTTATCAGAAATTCTTTACATAGGCTGTTTTTCAATGCAAGTACCATAACAGAAGAATTTTACATTGAGTCTACCATGGATAAGTACGTGCCATTTATTTTCCTAATTATAAAAAGTTTTCTCAGTTTGATGTCTTGGGATTTGGCATTGTTTTTATTTGATTGCCCAGGCTCTCTTATGTCCAATTTTGTTCCTTTTAAAATGACCAAATGGCGAGAGAAGGCACTTACAGTTAATTCATTGACTATATTTTGTTGACAGTGCTTCTTCCTGAACATTTTCTATGTCAGATATTGGGTTTTTTAGGGAACGAGATTTTCCTATCGTCATCCCATCTTAAAATCACTACCAACAAAGTTGTCTCTGAAATACTAAATATCAAGTTGTATGTTAGTATGTTTTTAAATTTCCATTTGTAGGTCATTTAAGAGTACAGTTTCTGTATTTCTGAGACTAAACTCTGAGAAGTTTGCTTCTGACTACTGCCAAACCCCTTTCCAGTAATCACAAATTAACAGTTGGGCATTTTCCTTCATTAGTAATCTTTCATGAAGACTGTTTTTCAGAAGTACAAAATCCTAGGACTTAGAGGCAGAATTTTGTAAATTACCTGTGTTACTATTTACTAAGTGTTTGAGCTAAGACTTCTCCAGGGCTAGAACTCCATAGTCTTGGGTATGAGGAATCCAGACACATGACACACTGCCCCCAACATTCCTCTGTCCCATATCCAGTCAGCCACAAGCCACAGATGCTGGTCCATTTTGTCACCTACTTTGCTTTCAGATTCTCCCTGCTGTACCTCTTCACGGCCACTGCCTTAGTTCAGGCCACCATCAGCACTCATACTTGGTTTGCTGCATCAGCTTCCTAACTGATCTCCCTGCCTCCACTTTTTCCTTCTCCAGCCCATCATCTGCACTGCAGTCAGAGCGCAGTCAGCAGTCTCCCAGAGCTCCCAGTGGTCAAAGCTGGGACAATTTGAGCAACAGAGTAAATAACTGATTGTATTAGGTTAGAACCCATGAAGTAGATAAATGTCCATTAAGTGTGTATGGAAATAAACAACAAAAAAACCCTGATATTTTCATGATATTGTCTTCCTATCCAGAAACATAGTTTATATCTTTTTAGTTGGGTACTCTTGAATGCTGCTTTACAGAGTTTTAGAATTTTTCCTTTACAGGTATTGGGTATCATTTTTTGGATTTATTCTTATGCACGTAATATTTCTTTGATACAGTTCTAAGTGGAATCTCCTCTTTAATTATGTTTTCTATATTTTTGCTGCTGGAGAATAAAAATATATCTGACTTTTGTGTTAAGCTTATATCCATTCACATTATTAAATGCTGCTATTATTTCTTTTTTTTTTTTTTTTTTTTTTTTTCTTTCGTT